AAGATTAAAAAAAAAAAAAAACATAAAAAACTGAATAAAGTTCCTTCGAGTAAGAAATCTAAACAAAAGCAACCATAAAACAACTAACCCACGTGAAACGAAATTAGATCTGTGCAAGTGAAAACTTTGAAAAACAATTATTGAAATCTTAGTTTTAATTATTATCCAACTCATTTACTGCAGTGTTTTAATTACTTAAGTAATTAAGCATTTTAAACAGTTAATCGCTTTCTAACATATTATTTTAGTGCAATTCACAAAATGTTTAATATTCAATGACATTTTCATTCAAAAAGAAGAAGAGAAATTAACAAATTTAAAAAAAAAAGTTAAAACTTTAGAATTTTTTTTAAAGTTTAAAAAAGCCCGTGCAAGACCATCTAGACGGGCGGCCCTCATAGCCCGCCAAGTCTATTTAAGACGGGCTTTTCATAGCCCGTACGGTTTTTATTCCTGCCGAAGCCTGTATATATATATATATATATATATATATATATATATATATATATATATATATATATATATATATATATATATATATATATATATATATCAGTGCTGCTAAAGAGGGGGTGGGGTTGTGGGTGTGACAGTTTGTCTTTTTTTTGCCAGGCAGCAGATATCCAAGGGGTGCCAAGTGTTAATTTTTTTATCAATGTACATATTATTATAATATTTATAATACCATTTCTAAAATATAATTTTATTATTATGTATAATTTAACATTATGCATATATAATATAATGATCCGCTATCTTCAATTCACAAAAAATCCCACATAGTGCTTACTTATAATTCATCATCTAAGTTGTGGAAAGCATAAGAACATTTTTGGGCATTTCGTGGTTTATAATTTCTATAAATTTACAAATATTTTTAATTAATTGCTATCAAAATGCCTAATAATATTTTTTATAAATATGTTAAGACCAGGCTTGTGGAGCTGAGCCAGATCCGTGGAGCTGTGGAGCTGCTGTTTTTTGGTAGAGTCGGCGCTGGAGCCACAAATATCGAGGGGCTCTTGGCTCTCATGTTTTTTTTAAAGGAACAGAATGTATATTTTTTATTTTTATATTCTAGACAGACTTTATTCATTTATTGTTTAACATTGAATTTCTATTTTTTTTAAATATTTTTTTTAACAGTTACAGTCTTGCCAAAGCGTTATAAAAATGATAATTTTAACGATTTTGCACTCAACAAAATACTGTCCTTTAATAGTATTTCTTAATATGCTTTATTAAAAAAAAAAGTAAATTATATAATGAAACATTGCAGTATTACATATTTATATCATATTTTTATACTGATACTATGCTGTTAAATATTTGACTCGCAGTTTAATTATCAAAGGTTATTCATATCTTTAAAACTATATTACAGCATGCGATCGTTAAACTTGAAACAATGAATTTCGTTTTAAAACTTATCACTAACACATTTTTAATGTCATATTTTTGCGTAGTTACTTTAAGTAATTATAGTATTAATTAAAAACATCAACAAACGAGTCAAAATGTTTCTATCAATTAAATTGTCATTGAAACAGTTAATAAAAAAACGAATGAAAAGTCTGCACAACAGTCCACCAAATTTGTCTGCATCGTTACTTT